GAAGAGAAGAGAAGAGAAGAGAAGAGAAGAGAAGAGAAGAGAAGAGAGAACAGAATTAAGAATGGGATGGGATGGGATAGGATGAATGAGCTAGAAGGGACCTTGGAGGTCTTCTAGTCCATCCCCCTCTGTAAGCTACAATCTATGCCCTTCTTGTTTTTTTACACACCTAGTGTGATACACCCATTTCTTAGTCTATGCCAGGGATCACCAACCTTTTGGACCTCAGGGACCACCAAACTCATAATTTTAAATCCCACAGACCAGAGACCCTGGGAAAATCCCCCCAAAAGTCTGCAGGAAAATTCCCCACCCCATTTACCTACCGATCGTTCATTCTTTATTTGGGATCGCAGGATGCCATCTCCAGCTCCGTTCTCAGGGGGAGAGAGAGAGAGAGAGACTTTGGGCTTCATGCAAAGAAAGCAGCGGAAGCCGCAGAAGTCTTTCTTTCTCTCCCCCAAACTCCGCCAGGAATGAGTCTTTGCTGGTGCAGCCTCTTGGAGCAGGAGGCCTTGCGGGGCCCCAAAGACTCATTTCTGGTGCAGTTTGGGGGAGAGAAAGAAAGACTTTTGCTGCTTTCCTTGCATGCAGCCAAAAGCAGAAGAAGAAAGAAGCGGAAAGAAGCAGCCCGGCGGCCAGGCCAGGCCAGGCAAGTGGGGCGAGCTCCCCGATTCCACCCTTTCCCCCCTCCCCTCATTACCTCGTGTTGTTCGCAATGCAAGCGATGCAAGCCTTGTGTTCCCGCGCAGCCTGGATTAATTGCTTTGGGGGTGACATTTCCCTGCGGACCACCAAAATTTCCTCACGGACTACCAGTGGTCCCTGGCCCACTGGTTGGTGACCCCTGGTCTACACTACTGTCTCACTTGGCCCACAGGTGTTCGCCTTTCAGCCCCTCCACTGCAGACCTCTGTGCTTTCCACGGCCTTTATGTACAGGTAGTCCCCGACTTAACGACCACAATTGAGCCAAAAACCTCTGTTGCTAAGTGAGGCATTTGTCAAATGAGTTTTGCCCCATATTACAGCCTTTCTTGCCACAGATGCTAACAACCGCAGTTGCTAAGTGAGTCGCATGGTTGTTAAGTTAGTCCTGGCCTCCCCATTGACCTTGCTTGTCAGGTCACGAAGGGGGAATCACATAAACCCCAGGGCTTTGCAACCGTCATAAGTATGAATCAGCTGCCAAAGGTCCATATTTTAATCATGGGATTATGAGGATACTGCCATGGTTGTAAGTTTGAAAAATGGTCATAAGTCACCTTTTTCAGTGCTACTATTGTCGACTCATAAAATATTTCTTTTTTTTTCCAAATTTTTTATTTTTAATAACAAACATAAACAAACACAAACATAGACACAAAACATAAAACCATATTTTCACTGTACAGTGTGTCAGTCAGTACATATCTTCTTGTGCACAATATCAACAGTCTTTCCCTTCTAAATACATTATTAAAATTCATATTATATAGATATGCATATTATATTATCATTAACTACTTATTAGACTTTAATTATAAACTGCATCATCCTTTTCAAGCATTTCAATTTGTATATATCTCAATTGAGATATATCATTCATTTCATTATAATCAATTATAACATCATTGTCTTTATTATTATACTGTATTTATATTGTATTATATTTTATTTCCCTATTTTCTTATTTAACCATTGATCAAATAAGTCCCAAATTTTATAATACTCTTTGGCTTCTTGATCTCTAGTTGCTAATGTCAATTTACTCATTTCTGCACAACTCAAAAAAATATTTCCATGGTCTTTTTAGAGTTGCCAACAGAAAGGGAGGGGGAAAAGAGGATTTGAAAGAGCAGTGCAGCAGCTTGGAAATCGAAAGTGCATTCCATAAATAGTTTTTCAAAGATAGTAACTTAGGTGACTGAAATTTCTGCTGCACAAATATTTCATTGGAGAATATGAATTATGATACACCAAGGGGGTGAGGGGAAACCAGGGTCAAGGGTGACAATGAATGATGTGTCTCAGAGTCGGCTACACCCAGGCAACTAAACCAAGTGACTCTGGGCAGCTTACAATTCTAAAAACCATTGAAAAGACACTGAAACAATAAAACATCCATCCAATAAATAAGTATAAACAGCAGCTGGGTGTCAACTCATAAAATATTTCCATGGTCTTTTAGAGTTGCCAACAGAAAGGGAGAGGGAAGCAATGCGGCAGCTTGCAAACTGAAACTGCATCCCATCAATGTTTTCAAAGATAGTAAGTAGGTGACCGAAGTCTTTGCTGTGCAAAATTCTAACTGGAGAGCATGATTGATGGCTCTTGGCTATGGATGTGTCCCATTGGAGAATATGAATTATGATACACCCGGGGGGTGGGGGAAAACCAGGGTCAAGGGTAACAATGAATGATGTGTCTCAGAGTCGGCTCCACCCAGGCAGTGCCGGACATGTTAACTCCCAATAAATCCTTTTGAAGTTTTGGCTTGAGACTCATGATTTAAATGCGGGGTAACTGCCGGAATTCTTACAGTTAGCCAATTGAGACACATCATTCATTGTCACCCTACAGGTAGTCCTCAACATACAACAGTTCATTTAGTGACCATTCAAAGTTACAACAGTGCTAAAAATGTGACTGATGACTATTTTTTATACTTACGACCATTGCAGCATGTCTGATTAAAATCTAGGTGCTTGGCAATGGACAAATATTTATGACAATTGTACTGTCCTTAGGGTCAATTGTCATGTGACACCCTTGTATGACCTTCTGACAAGCAAAATCCATGGGGAAGAGCCAGATTCACTTAACAACCGTGTTACTAACTTTAAAATGGCAGTGATTCATTTAACAACACATTAACAGAGTTGGAAGAGACCTTGTAGTCATCTAGTCCAACGCCCCCCCCGCCCCAAGCAGGAGACCCTACACCATTTCTGACAGGTGGCAGACCAGCCTCTTCTTGAAAGCCTCCAATGATGAAGCTCCCACAACTTCCGAAGGCATATTCTGTTCCATTAGTTGATTGTTCTCCCTATCAGAAAATTTCTCCTTATTTCCAGGTTGAATCTCTCCTTGATCAGTTTCCATCCATTATTCCTTGTCTGGCCTTCAGGGGCCTTGGAGAATAGCCTGATCCCCTCATCCTCTCTGTGGCAGCCCCTCAAATATTGGAGCACTGCTATCCTGTCTCCCCTGGTCCTTCTCTTCACTAGACTAGCCAGGCTCAGTTCCAGCAACCGTTCATCGTATGTTTTAGCCTCCAGTCCCCTCATCATCCTGGTTGCTCTTCTCTGCAGTTTTTCTAGAGTCTCAACATCTTTTTTATATGGGGGTGACTAAAACTGGACACAGTACTCTAGGTGTGGCCTTACTAGGGCTTTATAGAGTGTTAGTACCTTCCTCGATCTTGATTGCATCCCTCTGTTAATGCAACTTAGGATTGCATTAGCTTTTTTGGCTGCTGCTGCGCACTGCTGGCTCGTATTTAGCTGGTTGTCCACTTTGGCAAGAAAGGTTGCAAAATGAGACAAAACTCACTTAACGAATGTCTGACTTAAGAAGAAATTTGGGTCTCAATTCTTGAAGGCTGCCTGTGGGGAAGTCAAAGAACAGGGCCCTTCACACCTTCCAAGCCCCAAGCCAGGGTCCATAGCCAAGATTTTAAATCGCTGCAAGAAGCCTTCGCTCCTGATTCCCCACAGCCCCACAATCGGATTCCGGGCATCACTTGTGACTTACCTTCTTGCTGAACTCCCGAGCTTTCTGCCTCCTTTCCTGATGCACGGCGTCTGCACTCCGGATAAACTCCTCCACGCTGCTGCTAGCCCACCGCTGAAGCCGCCCCAGCCGCAGCAGCCCCAGTCTCAGACCTCCCTCCCGGCAGGATCTCATTGCAGCAGCCGCATCTTCATAACGATGGACGTAAATGCCATCGACTTCCAGGATGTAATCGCCCTCTTTGATGCCCGCTTGGGCAGCCGGCGAGTCCTGAGCCACGCTCTCCACCTGCAGGGGTTCACCTTCGTGGCAGGTCAAGGTAAAGCCAACGTGTCCCTGCAGCCCCGGGGGGAGGTCCACCTGCTGGAGGCGGGAGACCACACCAATGCTCGGGGGCACGTTCTCACACTGCCTGGCCAGGATCGCCAGGGCGTCGGCACTCATGGAGGGAACAGGCTGCCCCTCGATCTCCAAAATCTGGTCTCCGGGCTGGAGGCCGGCCACTTGGGCGCTGCTGCCTTCCTCCACAGCCACGATGTAGCAGGGGCCATTTCCACGGATCTTAAAGCCAAACTCCTCCGGCCACCCAGCATTGGTGGCAGGCATGACTGGAACGGGAAAAGGGGACACATGGAACAATCAGCCATTCACACCAGAGGTGGTATTCAGCCGGTTCTGACCGGTTCTGGAGAACCGGTAGCGGAAATTGTGAGTAGTTCGGAGAAACGGCCAATCCCACCCCTGACTGGCCCCCCCCCTCATCTCTTCTCCGCCTCCCATCGAGTCCCAGTTGATCGGCTGGGTCTTCTTTGGTTGCCCTGCACAGGAGAACGGAGCTGGAAAGCAGGTTAGTGGGGTGGGGAGGGAAGGGGGATTTTGCAGTAACCTTCCCCTGCCACGCCCACCAAGCCACGCCCACCAAACCATATCACTCCCACCAAGCCATGCCCACAGAACCGGTATTAAAAATTTTTGAATACCACCACCGATTCACACACACACACACACCCCAAGCAAAAGATAAGCCATGGATTGCCATGCACGCTATATCAGGGGTGTCCAGTCTTGGCAATTGTAAGACTTGTGGACTTCAACTCCCAGAATTCCCCAGCCAGCTGGGGAATTCTGGGAGTTGAAGTCCCCAAGTCTTAAAGCTGTCATGGTTGGAGACCCCTGCACTATATCTAAAACTTCCTTTGCCACCTGACTCCCTGGCACCTCTGCGTTTCACCCTCCTTTGGTGTCCCACGCCAGGCATTCTCTTGTTCTTCCCACAGCAGAGGCCTCGTAAGATTTTGCGCTGACAAAACCAAATAGCCCCATGGTGGCTATTTCCAATGGCATCTCATCTCTAGGAGGAGCGGGAGAAGATTGGGCCTGTTTGAGTTTTATTTTAGTCACAAATAACTCTATATTAGGGGAGCCCCTTGGCTATGGGGTGCAGTGTCTGGCCCCGTTACTCTGTGTCATAATATATGTGGGTACATACATAACTTTGTATTTATTTATTTATTTATTCTGTCATGGTTATGTAGTATATATTGGAAGTTGTGACCCTTTGAGAGCTGTATGCAACAAAATTTCATTTTAAACTATGCTGATTTGTGCACATCAGTGGCTCATTGGCTAAGACACTGAACTTGTCAATCACAAAGGTCGGCAGTTCAGCAGTTCGAATCCCTAGTGCAGCGTAACAGATTGAGCTCCTGTTACTGGTCCCAGTTTTTGCCAATCTGGCAGTTCGAAAGCATGTAAAAATGCAAGTAGAAAAATAGGGGCCCCTTTGGTGGGAAGAAGGGAACAGCGTCTGTGTGTGCGTTCGGCGTTGAGTCATGTCAGCCACATGACCATGGAGATGTCTTCAGACAGCGCTGGCTCTTTGGCTTTGAAACGGAGATGAGCACCGCCCCTCAAGAGCCAGAAATGACTGGCACATATGTGTGAGGGGAACTTTTACCTTTACGTTAAAGTGACAATAAAGTTATTATTCTATTCTATTCTATTCTATTCTATTCTATTCTATTCTATTCTATTCTAACCTATCCTATCCTATCCTATCCTATCCTATCCTATTCTATTCTTCATCCAATATCTATTCTATTCTTTTCTATTGTATTGTTCATCCAATATCTATTCTATCCTATCCTATCCTATCCTATCCTATCCTATCCTATCCTATCCTATCCTATCCTATTTTATTCTTCATCCAATATCTATTCTATTCTTTTCTATTGTATTCTTCATCCAATATCTATTCTATTCTATTCTATTCTATTCTATTCTATTCTTCATCCAGTATCTATTCTACTCTTTTCTATTGTATTCTTCATCCAATATCTATTCTATTCTATTCTATTCTATTCTATTCTATTCTATTCTATTCTATTCTATTCTATTCTATTCTATTCTATTCTACTCTACTCTATTCTACTCTATTCTATTCTCCAGCAGCACCATCAGTGACAAGGGCATTACAATTGAATCAGACATGGGGAACCCAAAAAGGCTGATGCAAAACTAGATTGCCTTAACAGAGGGACAGACTCAACATCACTTGAAGCATTAGTGCCACTTTATAAAGCCTCAGTGAGGCCACACCTAGAGTACTGCATCGAGGTTTGGTCACCTTATTATCAAAAAGATGTTGAGACTCTGGAAAGAGTGCAGAGAACAGCAAGAAAGAGGATTAGCGGGCTGGAGGTTAAAAGATATGAAGAACGGTTGCAGGAAATGAGTATGTGTAGTTTAATAAAAAGGACGAGGAGAGCAAACATTATAGCAGTGTTCCAATATTTGAGGGGCTCCCCAAAGTTTCCACATATTCTCCAAAGCATGAGATGGCAAGGCAAGAAGCAATGAATGGAAGCTAATCAAGGAAAGAACCAACCCAGGTAGATTAAGGAGAAATTTCCCAATTGAGAACAATTGAGAACAATCAGGAGAAATTTCCTGACAGTGAGAACAATCAATCAATGTAATGGCTTGCCTTCAGAAATTGTGGGTGCTCCATCACTGGAGATTTATAAAAAGAGGCCGGACAGCCATTTGTCTGAAATAGTACAGGATTTCCTACTTAAGCAGGAGATTAGACTAGAGGACCTCCAAGGTCCCTTCCAACTCTGTTATTCTGATTAATCAAACATGGAGAACTTCTCTGCAGCACATTTTATGTGCTGGACGACATTACAAGTTGTTTGTTTTTGTGCCTTTGAGCCAGTGCTGACTTCTGGCCCTGCTTGGGCCAGTCCCTGCAGCTTTCTTGATAATATATTCAGAAGTGGTTTTGCCCTCATCACCTTCTTCTACCTAGGGCTGAGAGAGAGAGTGACGGCTCCAAAATCACCTGGGGGGGTTGTGCCTAAGGTGGGATGGCAACTCACAGCCCCTTGGTTTCTAGCCTGATGTCTTAAGCACAATCCCAAAGGGGCTCTTGGGTAGCCCTCCAAAGGCAGGTAGTTTCCAAAGAACAAATTAAGACTTCTAAAGCAAGAAAGAAGTTTTGGAGCATGTGAAGATCAGGATTTCTCATTCCTCTAGATGGGTAAATTCTTCGTTATAACAATGTCTGTCTTTTTAATAATTGCTTCGTTTTGGTCTCTTTTACAGCAGAAGCGGGCAGCACCGGGAGAATGAAGGCTGCCATTCCATCTGGGGACAGAGGATAATGGGTGGCTGATTCTTTGGTCTGGGCATTTTATATTTTTGAAAGTTTAATTTAGATTACTTTATTGTCATTGCACCTTGTACAATGAAATCAAACACCAACCTCAGTGCTATGACCATGAAAACAAGCACACACACACACACATCCTTCACATTCTATACATTGAACCAAAACACCCCCAACACTGCACCAACACTCCACTATACAGTAGAATTCAAAAGAATTACTGCCCTGGGATAGAAGCTGTTTTTCAGCCTATTTGTCCTTATTTTTATTATTATCCTGTACCATCTGCCAGATGGTAATAGTTCAAAAAAAGGGGTGCCCAGGATGAGATGGATCTTTGAGGATGTTTTGAACTTTCTGAAGGCAGCAGGAGCTATAAAACCCTTCAAAAGAGGGGAGATGGCAACCCATGATCCTCTGGGCAATGACCTTAACCCTCTGGGGTGACATCCTATCTGCCTCTGTGCAATTGGCAAACCATACAGAGGTGCAGTAAGTTAAGATACTCTCTGTGGTGCAGCGGTAGAAGGTCACCAGCAGTTTTTCATTCAGTGGTTGTTTCCTGAGAAGTCCCAGGTAGTATAATCTCTGCTGGGCCCTTTTGACCAGGGCTGCAATGTGAGCCCCACAGGTCAGGTCCTCTTTTAGGGTAACACCCAGAAACTTAAAACTGGCCACTTGCTCCACTCAGTCTCCATTGATAGGGCTGGAGGTCTGATCTGTTCCTTCTATAGTCCACTATCAGCTCCTTGGTCTTATTGGTGTTGAGGACCAAGTTATTCTCTCCACACCACGAAAGCAACCGGTCCACCTCATCTCAGTAGGCAGATGAAAGCATTTTAAAAGTAGGGATGGGAGCAGATGTCCCCTAATTCGCACCAAAAGGCTCCAGTATCATGGAGTCCAGAGTCATTGACTAATAATTTTGTCTCTTGTCTTTCCTTTCCTATTTACGCCTGTTGATAGTCTTCTCCTTTTCCTCTCCTCCTCCTCTTCCTCTTCATTTTTTCCTCATTCTTTTCCTTCTCCTTCCATGTAAAAAATTTTTTAGGATAGTCCTCCCTACAAAAATGAAATAGACTGTCACTTCAGCTTATGCCATAATACTGGAAGTGTTAGTCTGGAAGCTGCCACAAGCTTTTACCATTTATAGCCCTGACTGATGTTTTCCCACCTAACCTTCACACTTCCAAGTATAGCTGCTTACTTGCAGGATCTTGTAGCTAATTGAGAAGTTCTTTTCTGTGTCCTGCTTCCTTCTCATTGACGCAGTTTTTTTCAGGGAAGCTTATCACAGTATTCGTAGCCCTTTGTGATCGCCTAATAAATTTGAAGATTCCCAAGAAATGGAAGGAACCCAAGGATACTTTCACTCCATTTCATGGAAGCTGCTCAGAAGATGACATACAAGAAAACCAACTCTGGTCTCGCAATTTGGCTATTTCATTACTTGATTCCTCTTTCACTTTTGAATCCAAAAGGTTCTTAAAGAGAGTGATTTCATATAAGTTGGGGAGCATCGTCTTGGGCAGTTCTCTGCTCTCATTGGCCCTTTGCTGCTCCTTCTGAGGTGGCAAACATCTCCCAAAATCCCCCTGTTCTCACCCATCAGACCAGCCTAAGAAACCAATGCCGTATTAACAGAGTTGGAAGGTACCTTGAGGGTCATCTAGTCCAGCCCCCCTCCTGCCCAAGCAGGAGACCCTACACCATTTCCGACAGATGGCAGTCCACAGTCTCTTCTTGAAAGCTTCCAGTGATGAAGCTCCCACAACTTCTGAAGGCAAATTCTGTTCCATTGCTTGATTTTAGAAATACTTTTGGTAGAACAGCTGTAGCAACAGAATCCGCCAAGTCTGTTTCCCCACTTTCTCTTGACCTTCATTGAGGAGGGGCCTGTCCAAGACGGTGACTCTAATTATTTTCTTGTCCTGGG